GCTCGGAGGGAGTGGCTTGGGAACTTGTTGATACTTTTGTGTTTTTCTTGTTTGTGTTTGTGAATGTGATTGTTTATGTTGGTTGGAATGTTTGGTGCATGCCCTTTTTGCTTGGTATCAGTTTTTTGTTCTCATGATGAGTGTATGAAACAAGCTTGATGAATAATATAATAATACTCGGACAGACTTGCTGATATTTGATAGTTGGTGCCTGGATTGAGATCAATTGATATGTTACTTTTAGCCTTTCAATTCAAAACTCTTACTAAATTTTTAATCTGCTGTCCGCTTATGTTTATTGACCCGTTATGTGTAGGGCGTGTCCCAATAAATTTTGCTGACAGGAGAAGTTTTTTGTAGACAGAAGAAGATACCAACAAAAAACTTACAATAAGAGGCAAAAAGAGAATAAATCCTCCTTCCACAATCCCAAAGAATCCTAAATTCAAAAACCACAAGGAGGAACATGCATCAAACTAACAAATACTCCCTCCTTATATTTTTAATTGTCATTGGAGTGAACTTTTATTTTTGCTTATTAATTGTCGTTGGATAACCATGAACTTTTATCTCGTGAAAAAGTGATGAGAGAACTACAGATAACTGAAAAAGAGAGATACAGATATAAAACTACCGTGGAGAACTCAAAATGAGATGGAAAATTATTAAAAAAGTATTTCAAAAGATTGAGGAGATTTAGAAAAATCTAATACTACAAGATAAGATAACTATTCCTTAAAAGACGTATTTGTGTTTTTTTAAGCTAAAACGACAATTAAAAATGAAAGGAGGGAGTAATGAGATTTCAAAACGACAGTATTAAGCCCGGAAAATGGTGGCACGCTCATTGTAAATAAATTCAGATCAACCGCCACAAAATACAAAATTAACACTGACAACACAATGGGACAGTTCCAAAAAAATATACAACAGATAATAACCTCAGCTCCTTCAATCTCAAAAATTACTATCGTACAAATAAATCAAATGGGAGTTGCCAAATAATTTAAGTTGCCATTGCCATGTACAAAGATAAGCTAGCATCAAATGCGATACACTTGCTGAAAAAATAACAAATCACACCAGCTTTGAAGCCGTGAGAGCCTGTCAAACTACAGAGAGTCAAACGAGCCACTCTTTAACCTCTCCATACGGGCCTGGAGGCCGGATAAGGCTTTCTCGTCCATAGGAAGTATACCTCCCTGCATATGACTATTAGCAGATTGTTCTTCTGCAACAGAAGGATGATTCACATTTCCATTTATTTGTACCAATGGCCGAGCTCTCGACTCCGAGTTCACTCCAGCAGCGGCTAATTGTATGCTCTTCATTCTCTCTCTAATGGCGTCTAGTGTTCCATTGGTGACTGCAGCGAATGTATACAACTATTAGGTGCTATGCTCCCAAAAAGTAGCCAGGTTTGGAACAAAACAAACCAAAATATAAAATAAAATACTTCTCTTGAGATTTAAACTTTAATAAAAATAAGGCCTCATTTGCTTCACTGGACGGGATTGGACATTATAATCCAACCAACTTTACACGTCAACATTTTGTCTAATGTTTACATTATGGGATGCAAAATTCTGCAACTAGTCAAGCATTTACTATCATGGACTAAATGGGATGATATAACTTGAAATGACTAATTTACCCTTCCATTCATGGTAAATAATCTGACATTGAGGGATATTCTTGTCTTTTGGCATGCAAAAATGAGGGCAAAATGGTCAAAGTGGGCTTGGGATAACACAATCCCAGGCGGTGGCCGGGACAGAATTATCAGCCAATAAATGATAAGTCTTTGGCCCACATGCCACATGTACGCCACATAAGATATATCCTATCCTAATCCTGCGAAGTAAACGCGAGATAATTTTAATTATCCTATCCTATCAACTAAAGTAAAAGAGGCCTAAAAGAGAGCTACTTCGACTTTTTCATAATTACGTTTAATGTCAGAGATTTCGAAATAATGAATGGATAAGATTAACTAACCGCCAGCTGGTAATCTTTCCTTTCTCAACTCCTCCATGTTCTGTTGTAGCCCAGATTGGTCATAACTTGATACTTTTGGAGAGACGGCATTCACATGCTCATCATTTTCAGCATATGAGGGGGGCAAGTTAAAGTTTGTGGGTTCTACTCTTGTGTTCATATTCTGTGAGTTACTCAACGGGTTTGTATTATTTACAGGGGAAAGAGGGCCATATCTTGGAGAGAGGTTAAGTGCCACTGGTGGTGGAGTGGGTAGTGGCACACTTGCATGTGTCCTTCCAGCAGCTGCATTCTTCTCCATCTGCAAATAGATAAGATGTAAGCATATGTTAAAAGGTTACACAACATGTAAGCATATAAAATTTAAAAAAATAAAAAAAAAAACTATAGATGCACACCTGGGCCAAACCATCTCTAATATATGTCCGAAATGCATCACTGGCATTTTGAAGTTGGGCGAAAATATCAACCTGGGACAAGAAAAAATCATGTGCAACTTTAAGGTTACTAAACATACATGGAAAATTTAAAAGCTGTTTTGAATTGAAAGTTCAAATATAAGTACAATGGAAAATCAGAATACCTGAGGGTATAACTGAGTTATACGATATAGCTCATACAGACCAATCGAGCAAGTTTGCTTGTCGCCAATTTTCTTAAAAATTGCAGCCAGTTCTTGCTGTTAAATGTACATACGACACAAGTTAAATTTGAAAATAGAGAGCAACAAAAAAAAAAGGTCAGGCATAAAAGACGCAACATGAACATGGTCGGACAAACTTAGACCACACAACACCTTCAATTGTGAATCGGCCGAGTGTGGTGCAGGTGCAGGGTTGTTGGAAGTCGAGTCATTCCAGTGAGTTTGCCCAACTGGTCCGGATGGCGTCAACATTCTTGCAGCAGCCAAAGTCTGCTTAGTTTTCACAATAATAATCACAAAAGAACCGCAATGAGTGAATCGCCCTTGTAAACAACCATATTATCAAGAGAAACACATAATACCTGAAGATTAAGATCGATGTAGGCCAAAATGATAGGTTGAGGTTGCATGTCTATTGGGACCATGGAAAGATGACCCTTTATGGCAGTACCTCGAAGTTTGACGAGCTCATGCAGAACAGTTTTAACCATCCGAAGTGGCTTGTCGTCGGCTCCAGCTCTTTAGTAAGTCAACATGGAGAAGTAAAAATGTAATTATGCACACAGTCTTGTTACTAATTTCAGATAACAGTTTTGGTTTAGTAATTAGGTGAATACCTCCTCCGTATTTCATCCATTCCCAACTCTTGTAGATATATATGGATACTCTGGAGGATGCGATCAAGGTCTACATCGTAAATTGTATTTTGCAAAACCTAGAAGAACACGTGCAAGTTAGAAAAGTGTGTAAATGTTTACACAAGTACATATTTATACAGGTCAAGTAAAAAAAACAAATTGTACAAAAAGAACCACAATTTCTGGAAAAAGTAAAAAGCACAAACGTTTTAGAAATGCTACCTTGGTAAGTTTGATTAAACACTTGACAACTAAATCCAAAAACTTTTGATTTCTAACAATGAGAGACTCATTCGTTGCTGGAGCCGGCCATCTCAATGGATCCAAAGGCCGCAAGAGATTTATAAGCACCACAAATGACGAAGTACGCTCCGCATTGTCCTGAACTCAAAATCCCAGTCATTCAAAGGAGCACACGGGTATTGATAATAAAGAAAAGCTGTGCACTTTCCAGTTCACATGCGATGTGTAGCTTTATTCAAAAAAAATTAAATATAAAAATAATTACCAGTATCTTCAACATCAAAACATTCAGAGCTCTCAAGAGTTGACTGCCATCATCCATCTGTGGAACCCTTTCATCCAACAGCCAAAGCAATAGTTCTGTAATTAGATTATCAAGGGTTCTTTCCTTGACTGCATGAGCAAGTCTCTTGTTCTGAAAAGTCTGCAAAAGGAGGGAAAACAATTTCCAAAATTTAAATATTCAATTGATACGGTATAATAAAGACTCCAATTAAAAATTCATAAACATAATGATTAATGCCAGAATCCAAACTCAATAGTCGGACTGAAGAACAAATCTGGCAAAAACCAACAGACGAACTGGAGCGTTTACCTGCATCAGAGTGTTCAAGACATATTTACAAGACCTTGAAGAGGCACCGGTGAGACTAAAGTCGAAAGTCTTTGCCACCTGAAACAAAGATAAAAGCGAAAAGGTGGAAAAATTTAGGGAGAAGTTCTGGTGATCTATAAGAGAAAAAAAAAAAAGAAAAAAGGGAAATTACAAACTATTCCAATTTAAGACAAAAATAAGAGGGAAAACAAAAATCATTGCCTTATTTGCCAAGCATGAAACAAGTCTATCAGCATCTTTCAGTACATCATCCAATGTGTTGCCATCAGGGTCAGCTGTTGCTTGTGCTAATTCATGGCACACAACTTTCATTCCTTCAACAGACTGCAAATACAGGACTTTTCATTAATAAAATAAATACTAACTTAGGGACAAAAATTAAGAGCTTGTTTGGAAACACTTTTCAAATGGACTTTTGGATGCAATTTGGATAAATATTTATGTTTGGTGCTAAATTAAGAATGGACTTATGAATAAGTTGTTTCTCCAAAAATTCCATTCTGTAAAAGTAAATGATGGAGACTTTTGGAGAAGTCCATATCTTAAATGGACTTTTTCAGAAGTGCTCCCAAACAAGCACCAAGTCAGTTAGACATCTAAAGCTTCTTTTACATAGCTATTGAAAACAAACCTGCTCGGGAGAACCATGTTGTATAATATCCAAAGCTTCATTCCAGTCTGTGGGGCCCACAGCAGTATATGTCTGAGGCATCTGAATTCTATCTGTGTGAATTTCAGGGCAATAGTTCTCCCTACGAAAAAAAAGTTGCAATAATGATAAATAAGTCAGAAAGCAAACAATCTCCCGTGTAACAATATTGTATCCAACAGAGTAACAGACCACTGTCAGCATGTGCTTCTGTCTGTTAATCAAGTAAAAGTCATACCGGTTAAATGTAGGAATGTTAATAGACCGTGAAACTTCTCCACTTTGCTCAGCTTGATCCGACCTACAAGGAAGGAAAAGAACACATAGCACATTAATGGCAAACAGGTGACAACGTCCATACTACCTTTGAACAGCTCTAATAGGCCGGTATAAACACAATATGCTCAAAAAAGAAAAAGGACCTAGACATTTATATGCTTTTTTGGTCTGGCACTCAACAAATTTTGCAGGGGATCATAATTATCTCCTGGAGAATATATGATATAACCAGAAAAGACCATTGGGCCTTTCGAGTACACAAAACTACTCAAAACTTGCATGGGATTACAACTAGAAACATACCCATTATCCCTCACTGAGCGCCTAAGGGCAGCCCTTGCTTCCCCTGGCCTGCCTTCCTTCCTCTTCTCCATCTCTCGAGCCTGAAAAAAAAAAAATAAAGAAAAAAAAATAAAGAAAAATCCAACGACTGTTGTAGGGGAAACAGAAAGGGTAAAACAAGGAGCACAACAATACACCAACCTTCCACTTAAATCTATCATCTAACATGCTTCGTTGTGCTTCAGTGAGCTTCCCAACATATCTCCAGATATCATCACCTTGTACACAAATTATTTGCACAATGATCAAACAAAAAATGTATAGCAAAATTAGTACCCAACATGATGCTGTTATCTGATCATTTTCCTGATAAGGGAAGATATATATTCACCTAAAATTTTATATCCTGTAGCCAAAGTATTCAAAGCAGCTTTCCTGGTATCACCGTCTCGCTCAGAAGTTAAGCTTGCTACAATTTGCAAGGATTTCAGTTGCCCACTTATCTGACAAGAGAAAAGGAAAACATCAACAATGTAGAGGAACCAACGAGGTATTAATCATTATAACCTAACATAGTGATACACACCTCAGCAACATAATTATCCAGCAAGAATCCAACAAGATCAGCACATTCAATCCTAGTTCTGTTGTTTCTAGAACGCAGGCCTTCCAAAATATAAGGGAAGGTTTTTGCAGCAGAATATGAGTGAATAATTTGCTTCATCAGCTCTCGCATTTTTTCTCGAACCTTTTCAATGTTATGTCCAGACTGTAGCGAAAAGTAAACAACAAAAACAAGTGAAAGCAATATCAAATATGTACAAACATAAAATAAAATAAGTGTTGTCAACAATCGAAAATGCAAATCAGGCAAGTTCACTAAACACACATACCAACTAGTCCAGTTAGAAGCGACCTCAGTTACTTGGTTGCTAACTAAAAGATAGAACAAATGCTGGAAAAGAAAGCATTACTGATACATGATAGCATAGTTCCATGGTCGTTACCTTTTCAACCAAGCAAGGAAGAAAAATGGCAGCCTCGGCTTCAGTCATAGTGTAGCCCTCATTCCTTAACACGTCCAGGAGTTCAGGAAGAAATTCCAACACCTTATCAACAAAAGAAATAAAATGAATGAGAGAAGCAAGTCGATCTCAATGTTGCAAAGAAAATTGAAACACTCAGACAAAGTAAATATATATAGTAATAAAAAATTAGATTTAATATATATGAATTGCTCATACCGAAGCAAAAAATTATCTAATATCTTCACAAATACAAATAATTATCACTGGGTTGCCATCTACCAATGTCTACAGTGCATTGAAAACAAAATTAAATTGGCTCCAGATAGATACACTGACAACATTAATTGACAAACCTTTAACAAGCAAGATGTATTGGACTCACAGATCCTCAAAACAATCCACCTTAAGATTATATCCAAGACTTCCACAAACTCCCTTCCCATGGATGGAAGAGCCTGAAATGCCAAATTGCAAGGTTAAAATGTGCACATTTAGATGCCATGAATTGAGAACCTTATATTTATATTTAAAAAAACCTTCTGCAGCATCTCAATTCCATCAACGTGCTTCTTAAAGTCTGCACTTAACAGCCTTCGATGCAAATCCTCTCTAAAGTACCTCATGACATCATTCTGTCCAAGAAGTACAAAGAAACATTTATAACATCTCAAGAGAATAGCCTTCCCATCATCACACAAAATGGTTTTTTAAGCACCTCTAAATCATCTAAATAACGAATCTTAAATACCTTTTGTCCAACTTTACTAGAAACTGCAAACTACATCTAAAATCTGTATAATATGAGTCCCATTACTTACAATATTCAACCACAAATACAGATAAATCAGGACAGAAACAAAAAATGGTCAATAACTAGAAACCTCGAGATCTTGAACTTGCTCCAAACGTAATTCCTCAAACTTGAATCTGCGGACCACCATTCTTTCTCTATCATCCTGCAAGTATGCCCCCAATTTACATCCGAACCATCCATAGAGATTAATTTAGGCATTTTGTGCCAAACGGATGATCATACCTTGTTTGAGTCCTTAATATTAAACAAAGCTTGTGACTGAATGTTGATGTCTTGAACTGACATGGCAGTCTCTTGTCTTGAACCCTTGGTAGGAACAGCTCTCTGTAAAAGCAGGATATTAATCAGAGTATATGTAGTGGCAAATTAACAAAGCAATTTAACCACATAAAACATACTGAAGGAGCAGTTCGGCTTCCATGCCGTGAGGAACGGTCACCATAACCATTGGATTTTCCAATCTTCGAAGTATTTTTGGATGATGTGCTTGCTGAAATTGATCTACCCGATTCAATGCTTTCTGCAAGCCAACAAGCAGTAAAACAGTTTAGGAAAGGGGTTACAAGACAGAAACACCCTCATCTTTGGGGCAGTTATTTGGTGAAAAAGAATACCATGAAATGCCCCATGTGGCTTCAGCCTTTCAACAACAATAGCTAAAGCAGAGCCTTGTATATCTCTTAAATTTTTAGTCACCTAAGAAGAAACAAATATGTTATGTCAAACATTGCTTTCTGTGCAAGCTAAATACCACTCCATCTCAAAGTTTTGAATTACATACCATTTCATGTCCACAAACCCTCAATACTTCAATAAAGCACGTTTCAGCAGCTTTACGAACATCTGCTGATTTATCCTGGAATTTAAAACAAAAACATCTCATTATAAAAGCACTAGTTGAAGTTAATGCTGATCCGTGAGGATCAATGAACAAGTTCAACTTTGCAGGAGAAGTACCGTCATAGCAGTAGCAGTCGGTTTAAGCAGCTGGATAGCATCAGAAAAATCAGTCAATCCACCAAGCTGTCTGGACAACCAGTCAAAAAGATCCCTGCGCCCTTCAGCACCAAGCTTAGCATCCGTGAGGGCAGCTGTAACATAAGGGACCTAAAGGAGATAGAATACAAAGTTAAAACACACATGAACTAAAATGCAAGAAGGAACTGCTTGTAGAATTGAAAATCATGACTATTGACCATTTTATCAAGATGAACAGCAGCAAGCCAAGACTCTAAGGCACTTAAAGTGCACTCTCGCATGTGCTTCTTATTGTCACCGAGGCATTTCAAGATATCTGACAGGATGCCCTGCACGAAAATATAAAAATTAATTTGCAAACCTTTAATAGAGCATATAGAAATGATAGATACGAAAGCAAACCTTGCTCGCCTTCTCAACCGGCTGACCCATAGCTGACGCAAGAGCACCAATTGTGTTCAAGGTTGCCATAATTAAATTTTTGTTGCTGTCATGCAATCGACTTCGTAGAGCTCCAAATAATTCTCCTGGAAGTAAGAAATATAAAGGAGCACATTACATGAAATTTCAATAATATGTACCAATCAGTAAGTGCTATATACCAGTTCCCGTGGGTTGAATACGCTTATTTGCCTCTTCCAGTATCTTATTCACAGTTTCAATGGACTCTAAGCGTATCTAGGAACAAAATAAAGTCAGCATGACTAGAAGTCTAGATGTACTTAGCATGTTCATGTGTGAGTTGATATATATGCTACCTTCCAGTCTGAACTCTCCAGGCCCTTCAACAAGTTCGGAGTGATCTTTTCACTAATATCTTCACGTGGAAGTCCATCGACACCACCCGCAGCCACAGATGATGCAGAATCAGTTACTTTCACAGTCTTCTTTGGAACTGCAGATGCTCCCTGTGGATAATGATATTAAGGTTGTAAGAACCATGCCACATAAATCCAAAGTTTCAGATTTAANACCTGGTCCTACAATTATGAAAAAAACAAAGGAAAAAAAAAAACGGAAGGCAAACTTATATTACCTGGCCCTACAAACTTGTGTAGAGAACCAATTAGCTTAACTGTAGCATTTCTTGTTGCAGCAGCACTAGACTGTAAGCCAACATCCTTGCAGAAATCAATTAGGTCCTGCAATAGAAAACATAAATCTTGGTATCATCTTTGCCAAACCATCATGCTATTTTTTAAGGAAAACAAGTTGCATGATAACTACAAGATCGTGCAAAGAAGGTTGTGGACCTTCAGTTTGATATAAGAAACACCAAAGTCCTCGACCGCAGAAACCATCCACAACAGGCCTTCACTAAGGACCTTGGGATTCTTGTGATCTTTCATAATCGTATACATCTGAAATTAGTTATAAAAAGAAAATAAAAAATGTGTTAGCGAAAAGAAAGAAATAATAGAAATTAGAAACTAAAATGAAGGGTCGTCGAACATGTCATTACTAGAAAATGAACAAATCCTCTAGCTCGCTCTCTGAAACAAACACTTCTTTCCATGACACATATTATTACATATGTTCGAATATCAACAAGTGAAGAAACCACAAAGTAAAAGCATGATATGAATAAACAACTTTAAACAAAAGGAAGAACATTTTGATGCCACTGTTCTTTTCTATCATGTTAAATTAGTCATTGGAGATTCCATTTAAGAGCCACCCATGAGAGTCCTCTTATTTGCCACCATCAACAAGTGTACTAAAAATCGGCTAGGCGCCGGCCGGCTGCCTCCGATTGCATGAATCAGCTCAAAAAATCGGCTAGGCGGCTCGACGGCGCCTAGGCGGGCTTTGTGGCCAGGCGGTTGGGCATGCTAGGCGGGTCTTGGCAGCAATTTTCCAGTTTTTTTTTTATTAATAGTAATTACATTATTTTGTTATCATGTTTTCTTTATAATATATAAATACTATTATTTGAACTTAGGTGTGTGGATTTATGACAAGTTGAGATAGTTTTATTTTGTAGGTAGTGAAAATAAATAAAAAATAAGGTATTTAATCTTATTTTCTTGGCCCGCCTAGGCGCTAGGCGCTTCTAGCTGCCATTAACACCCTCCAAAAAAAAAGAAGAAAAAAGTCAAACGGTTATTTCCATTGCAATCACATGTGTATGCATATTTTATGATCAGCTAACCTGATCAGCAATGACCTATTAAAAAATTTCCTCTCAATATATAACACAAATTTTTAGAGCTGTGATTATTCTACACAATACCTGTGGTATCAAAGTGCTTAAATAGGTTAAATAAATGATTTCGTTCATGTATAAAAGTATTTCACCCTAAGCAGCCACATATCAAATCGATGGGGATATTAACTTTTTAACGGGAAGAATGGACCTACCCTCTCAAAAACAAACCCTGGACCCGCAGACTCACAAAATGTAGTAAGGCATTTCATTGCCTGAGCACGAGTCTTTATGTCAGCCACTCTTTCGGTAATACCTATCAACAAACCAAAACGGTTAAAGCCCCAAAATTTCGTTCCTAAGTATGTGAAGAAACAATAACCTAAATAATTAAATCTCCAAAATGGCCCAACAAATATATGTTTCTAGCTACCACCCACTAGAGTGCAGGCAAGAAGAAATAGATAGAAAAACAAGAGAAATCAACAAAACTATATATCATAATATTGATACAAATGTAGTAAAAATTACACAAATTTCTGACCTAATAGGCAAAGCACAACACATTTTTTGGGAAACTTCGCCGAGGTGGAAGCTATGTGCGTAATGATATCAATAACCTGTTGCTGGACCTGCACATCAACATCTCAAATAGGATGAAATAACTAATCCATAGAATAATAAAAGTGATTATTACAATTGCAAACAATTTTATACCTGCACATTTTTCTCATTCCATCCAGGAACTACACAAAGTAAACGAACCAAAATCTCAACGGATGAATCAAGGTTGTTTAGTGCTTCAACTTGCTCTTTGAAAGACACGATAGCTGCAATTTATAACTTCCAAATCAAACCAGTGTCAAATCAGAAGAAAAACATTATTGATAGAGGCAGCTCATTTCAGGAATTACACCAAAGCTAAAGTCAATGGATGAGCATTAGTGTAATATATTCCGTGACAACTTTACACTAACAATGGATGAAGCAAAAAACAGTAACACTTAATTGGGCTTAAAAAGAGATAAAATAGGTTNTCTTAGTTTACACAACCTACAGTCCTACAGAAAGTTTTCATTGCAATAATTTACGCGTGGCCGCAAACACACAGATAGAGAGAGAGAGAGAGAGGTCACCAAAGTGTTCTCAAAATAGGAAAAAAGGAGGTACAAGTAGCACATAAAAAAGGCTAAGCTAGCAACATGTTTTGTCCATAAAAATAGTATAAGATAAAGAGAAGAAAATTATCAAACTGTGATATACTTGAGCTAATCTTGTAGAAGTAAATATGGTAGAACTAATTAAAAAATATAGACCTTCTAGCCTCTCTTTCCAAACAGCACTCTTCAACTGAGTGATAGTATCTGATTGTATAAGGGATCCTAATCTGGTCTCAATCTCTTCCAAACCCATTTCTGTTGGCTGTACAAACAAGAGGATTGGGAAAAATATTAGATTATGGAATGCCCAGTATAAAAATTGTAAGCATAACATAAAGAATGAAATGCAGGCAAAGTAATGTTACCTCAATTTCTTCCTGTTCCACAGGCTTAGGGACTTTTGGTTGACCCCCATCATTTTTCTTGTTGGTACCAGATTTCCCTGAGGTTGCTTTCTTCGTTGCAACAGACTTAAAAATCAGAAACAATGTTTGAAGAAGAGAGTCAGTAATCATTAACCGTGCATCCGTAGGAGAAAAAAAATCCAAAATAGCAAACTGATTTCATTTTTGGCAGGAAGTAGTAGAATGCCAACGAAGAGAGAATTGAGTAATTAAATAGCTTACAGCTGAATTAATAGGCTTCTTCCCACTGAGCATGCTAGCTGCTGATCTTCTAATAAATGATACGTCAGAGGCCTGCATAAAGAATAAAGAAGATAAAGAAGATTCACAAAATGGCTTGTCCAGAAGAATGTGAATCCCATACTCTGAGTCTTTTCCTCACAGACTATTTGTAGAAATAGATAAAAGGAAACGGGTTATTTTCAGAGTGCATTCTATGGAAAGACAATTGTAGCAGACAAAGTTCTCCATCAGTTTCCAGTCATTTCTTAATATGCCTATTCCAAAAGAGAATTTTGTTTCCTTTTCAGCATCAACTCGGAGAAAAAAAATTAATTTAGTTCTTTTTTTATTAAAAAAAAGTCCATACTAGTGATTAGACTTCAGGAATATGTAATCTGCTAGACCAACACTTTTAAGGACTATCTGCTCCAAAACTAACTGACCTCCGTTATTAATTATAGAACTTAATCCACTATTAATTAGAATAGCAGAAAAGCTGTTTTTACATACAAACCTACTAACCTCTGTGCCAGCCATACATCCCACAGATGATTGAGCTGCAGCTGACATTATTGTAATGGATAAAAATGTTAAAAAAATGTAGAAAAATAAGCATCAACAGAATCACTGCCACTAGATCCAAACCTGAGCTAGGAACAGTGGATGGGTCACCCGTTGAACCCACAATCATTTCAGATAACTTCTTTTTCCTAACATCATCCAGCTTTTCCAGAGATTTCTCTAGAGGTCTCATACCAACCATCTATACAAAATTGTTATAGGCATTTAAATTGTAAGATCGACATACAAAGTGAGACAATTGAAAAGTTGACAAACAAGGATCCTGACAATGTACCTTCGCAATAGCTGCCAAAGCGGAGAAAGCTGCATCCCTAACTTCAGGTGTTCCATCATTAAGGCACTGCAAGGAGTTCAATAAGAGTTTAACAAGGAAATCACAAAACACAGTAGCTGCAACAAAATAGCTAATTCTATATAAATCATAAGTATGTAAGTGCTCCCAACTTTTTATTTTGTACAACATGGTCACCAAGAAACATGAGCATTAAACAATACTTGCATATTCAACTACATATACTATTAATATTAATCACCAATAAAATTAATCAATTAGAACCAGAACATGTCTCTCTCACATCAAAGAAAATCTATATAAATTGCACAGAACAAAGAAATTGATTAGAAACAAAAACCAATGAGAAACTGTTAGGAGTGATACGCTCTTCCAGTTAGAAATATTCTGTTTGAATGATAAAATTAGCTTTGAAAATGTAAATGGAAATGAGATGGAAACGTACTGATTGAAGTTGATTTGTTATGGAAGTACTCAAACAATGATAGTACGTGATTTTGTAGCAAGTAGACTGTCATAATTTCACTCACCTCCATGAGTATCGGAACATAATCCTTGTGCACTTTAAGTATAGTAGCCTTGTTGCTTGTCTCAATACAAAATGTGACCCAGTTCAACGTTAGTGACCTTACCAGAGGAACTTTATTTTTTACTGCTGTCTTGACATCTGCAATAAAACAAGTTAATTCTCAAGGTTCCTCGTCTACAAGAGATCAATAAGCAACCATCGAACAAACTAATATAAACTGATTCGTTGACATTTCGAAGAGACAATCACATTTATTGGAAACTTAGAAACAGTTCCACTCCACCATATTGACTTTAAATAACATGTGTCAATATGGCTTGTCCAGAAGAACATGCACGTCCAACACCACCATATTGACTTTAAATAACATGTGCATGCACGTCCAAGCAAAAAAATAACACAATGGAAAAGCAATGAGCAAAACTATATCTAAATTAAAGCTCAGAAGGATGCATAACAAGAACAAAGGTCCTTTAACTCATGAAAGGTGACATATAACCCAAGACTTGCAAAACAAGTTGAACAAATTAAGGACAACACTATTAGCAGTAAAGAATCGAAATATATATAAATCCTGCCTTCAACAATGTCGGCAAGGTTCAAGCATCCTGACTTGTGCATTGACTGAAGAGTTTGCGTCAGTGCCTCTGTCATAGTAGGTTTCTTCTCCTTCAGCTTTTCCTATAAATCATTGATGATCAAACTTAGCGTAAGCTCTGATAAAGAGTAACATGGCTATAGCAGTAGATACTCATGTCTAGGCAACACATCCATAACATCCAACACCAAACTTAAAAACATAAAGCTACTAGCTCAAACTATATTTTAATTGCATTTCCCAGAACTTCCCTCGATTACGACCAAATTCTTATCTTGATCTTCTTCAACAATTTAAAACCAGCACTCGCACCCTTCCCCGGATTGTTTATTTAAAAATTGTATAAGTTCAATGGCTAACAAGTTGCAGACAGAACTTGATAAAAATATTCATCACATAAAAATCTTCATCACCAAACAAATTTGAGCACCATATTATAAACAAATAAAACCATAAATAATATACTAACCAGTAGAACAGGCAATATAAAGCGAGAGCTGCCAGAAAAATGAGTTCTCAGACCCTTGGCAAGATTTCCAAGAGCTTGAACAGCCTCAACTGCAACAGCAATGTTTACATCTGTAACAAGCTGCAAAGTCCAAAACCATGTTGTAATTACTGTATTGGTCAACTTTATGTAAACTCATTCCATAAACACAGGAGACAGAAAATGAATTCAAGATGAGATAAGATATAACCCAAATACGTCATCAAGCTCTTATAGAGAGGACATGCTTTCACATGGTAAATACAATAATATGATCCAAGAAGAAACTGTTGCACTTTCTTCTTACTATTTTGTTACACTATATTTTTTTTTTTTTCACATACAATTTACTTGGAACTTAAGGGTGTGTTTGTTACAAGAATAATTTGAGTGAATTAACTCAAAGTGATTTTTTTGAGTTAACTAGGGTTAATTTAGAAAAAGTGGTATAGTTAGTTGTTAGTGGGATTTTAAGGTTATATTAAAATAATATTTAAAATAAAATAATTAAAATTGGTTTGATATAAAAGTAGGAGAGACATGATATGAAGTGATGGTTAGTTAAAATTATGTGAGTGGATGAATAGTGAATTAAAGTTGATATGATGTGTAAAAATGATTGGTTGTTATTATTTAATGATTGATTGTTAGTATTTAATTATATTGATAATATTGAGGATAGTGGGGTTGAGCTAAAGTTGAGTTAGATTTTGAGTATAATTAATTTGGTTTGAGTTTTTCCTTTAACAAACACAGCCTAAATTATGAGCTTAGGGTCCAGGACCCTCTACATGGTTATACAAAATCCAAGTGAATATCATTAAAAACTTTAAACACCAGATGGTCCATATACCAGACGTCACTGGCTTTTTATGATATCATTCTCAGTTACCTATGTTCAGATTTATCCACAACGCAGCTAAAAGGAAAGGAGAAGAGCTGTCATTATTATCATCTACCAATTCACATTTTCAAGTGATTTTTCTCGCATTATCCGCTTACTTTCGTGCAATGTTGCAGCACATAAATTAGAACTATATGGGCCCAAACCAAGGCGCAAGAGCATTCTCATCATAGTGCCCATCCCATTTTTGCAGATGCTCAAGCAAGTACCAAAACAAATTTAATGGTTTACGTATATTCAAGCAGCAAAATAATGAGACCAAAATAATTGTTTGTATGTATAAGTCTACTGGAATGTCGAAAAACAACAATCCTCGATACAATTAAATCTGTTACAGACCTTCTTTAACGTCCGACAAACTTCTGAAAAATCTCCAGGAGCAATCTTTTTAGTAGATGCAAGTTTGGTTAGTTCGGCAACAGCCTCTTTCCGTTCAGACCATTTGGCAGCTTTCTAAAATACGCAAAACAAGAAATAAACAAATAAAAATATCAAACACCGCAAGCAAATCTTACCCATAAATATACTAGTGACACATGCCATCAGCACATGGTTACAAGATATCCAGCGAAAATAGATAAATTGTACAGAGGCTGCTTACCACTCCTTCCCAAAACCCAGACTTCTCTAAGGGTGTCAATATGTCAACTGGATCAACAAGTTCATATTCATCTATTTCTTGTGGAACTGGAGGACAATATGAGAATAGCAATCATCATTGCCTATAAATCTTAAGCTGCTAGGGCCATAACTTCAATTAAATGCTACTATAAGCTTGGCAATCACATACCATCAGCTGCACTTTCTTCAGCCGGTCCAGATCCTACAGCTACAGAAACAACTTCTGGTTCGGGTTCCTTATCTTGCTCGGACCTGATATATAACTTAGCGCAATGAGATTTGTTTAACAAAAAAAGTTATTTATACAGAGGCTTGAGTCAGAACAATAATAAGAAATACCAATAAATTAACACTTCTTAAAACCAATCAAGGTTGATTATCCAATCATGTTAAAATTATAGTCCAGCAGAATTAACTACGAGCAGTTGTGCATACTCAATGTATTTAGGAAAAACATCAAACCCAAACAGCATAGCATTATATGCTGACAGAGAAACTCAGAATCTAAAACCTTAAGATTCACAACACAGAATGAAGATTGAAATACCTACAAAATACACGTTTAACAATTTTAGCTAATACTAACAAATCAAAAAAATTACAATCTTAACCAATATACCCAACATACATAAAAAAAAAATCCTAAAAAGCTAGTACCTGAGCTTTCTGTTAGTTTTCTATGAATTCATCAGAATTGAGACTAAACTTGAAATCTGTAAACTAATAGACTAAAGGAAATCTAATTAGTTTAATTAATAGCAATACCAATATGACTCAAAGGGTATATCACAACAAAAAAGGAAGACTCTTCACAATAAAAGAATGAAATATAATAGATATGGAAACAGAAGACAAAAGATTTCCTCGTGGTTTTCGGGGGATGGAGGGGTGAGAGAGAGAGAGAGAGAGAGAGAGAGAAACCTGATTTTACGTGTGGGCTTTGCTGTCCCAATTACATTTGCAAGCTCAGCCTCCAACTCTTTTTTCTTAGATATAACAGGACATGAAAAGATAAGAACTTTGCAAATATTATCAGACATGTTGTGTAGTGAGGAATTTGGTGCAACTTTTAAATTAACTTACCATCGTATCTCGCATTTTTTCAAGCAATATAGATTTGACAGGGTCCTTGCCTATCCAACGACAAAGCTCTAGCGTCAGCCCTTTGGAAGAAGCACGAACATTCTGATCTTGATGATCAAAAAGTTCTGGAAGCATCTTCAATATTCTTTTTGGCGGTATTATCTTTGACCCAAACTCACTGAATCATTATTCACCGAAATTTTACTGTAAAGCCAAACTGAAAAAGAATACATTTAAGGCAACAGTAACTGATCGCACACCTTAAAGCCTGAAACATGACATCAATAGCCGGAACAACAGCTTTAGCAACTTTATTCTTTATCGCCTTCTCCATAGCATCCTACAAAGTAAAGTAGCGTGTCAATTAGGAATAGCCAAGTGCAACTGCAAGTTTTGACCAAAAAACAGATAAAAGTACAGTAAGAGGTGGAAAAAAGTAACTGTGTACACCTGAGTAAGACGACAACAAAATCAACCGTTCACACTTTATTTTAAATGAAGTCGAATAAATTGAACAACATGCGTAAAACAGCCAAAAAAGGAAGGGTACATTGCCAATCCATTTCCCCATGTCTAGTCATGAATTAAGCCATTCACGTAACCAATGAAAAAAATGGAAATATCTTATTACGTTAGTTAAAAGCGTTGTTCCCAAATTTATTTTGGTGTAAAGCAATACATATATTTTACTGACTCGGCACTTGAGGTTTCCGAAATTCTAACAAACCATCTACAGCTGTCTTGACTAGCACATCAAAAAGTCACGGACCTCACGGTACACATATTTTACTGACTCGGCACTTAAGACTTCCGGAAATTCATGCAACCTCTCGACAAGTGTCTGGATTGTCGCATCAGAAATTCACAACTAAAAGGATATCCAAAAAGTAACATGCAGTAATCTACATTACTTTAGCAAGTAAAGTTCACTTTTACACTTCAAGCAGCCATCAGCAATATTATACTACGGGTGCTAAAGCACGTGTATTCTAATCATGATCCAATGAAAATGCATCGTTGCAGTGCAACCAAATTTAGTTGTTCTAAAATTGAAACATACCAGGAAAGGTTCAACAGCCTCCAACTCTACCCAAAGCATAAATGCTATTTGTGCCTTCTCTACTGTCTTAGGCCTTCCTGTCAGGCATTTTGCCACTATTGCATCGCATACCTCTTTTGCATATCTAGACCCAACAGCAAATCGTACTTAATCAATTGTATCATCATATCAAATAGTCCCCAAATTTCTCAGAACAAGTTCAAATGAAAGTGACGAGGAAACTTTCAGATAATTAACCTTCCAGCATCAGCATCCGCAGCTTTTAGAAATGCAATGAGAGCATCAAGACCTTTCTCCTGAACAGGCGCATTGGAATCCGCCACGGTCTTCCTAAAAAAAGGACCTATCCAAAGAACACGAGAAGATGAATAATTGGAAACCGCTGAAAAGACGAACAAAAATATTGATCCACGCAGCCTATCTCCTTTATTAGTTTCTCCAACAGATCAAATACACCATAATAGAAACGAAATCAGATCTAACGCAAGAATCAAACTAAGTCCTCACCGAAATCACGGAGCCGCGGGTCCTTGGGGTCTGAGATTGAGTCGCAGACGGTCGCCAAATCAATATTCGCGTCATTTCTCACCTTCCAATTCTTGTGCGTCAGGCGATCCTCCCACGGAAATTTCTTCGCCTCCTTGAGCAACTTCTCGTCCTCCGACATTATCCTATTTTAGGCCGATAAAATGTCTTCAAATCCGGCGAGACTAATTTAACGCGTCGGCAACGGCGCCGGCGTATTGCTGCTTATACCTTCTCAAAATTTCTCCGTTAACTTGTACTCCGAGTATCCACTCGGCCCGAGTGCCGGCAAGTCCCGATCAAGGGTTGAGTGTGGATGGGTGGGTGGCGGGGGTGCGTATAATAAATCTAGTCTCTCTTTTTCAAAAAATACGAAAAAAAAAATAAATAAATAAAATAATAATAATAATAATGGTAAGAATATCGGAAGAGAGAGAGAGAATTGGTAAACTAATTTATGTTTTACGTTTAATGGTGAGGGCCGGACTGGGGCCCACAGCCGGAGTGTGGTACCGGATTGCGATTTCAAATTAGGTCTTTGGAGGGGGTGGGATTGACTGCGGCGACATCCACGTAATCGGATTTTGATTGGCCGCCAGATGGTGATTCAGATCTGGGGTTTGGGGATGTGAAGCTGTTTGGATCGTCGGATATGAGAGTATGATCCATCGAACATGAGGCGACGGCACACCATTATATATTTTCTTTTTATGAAGACGGCAATTTAAATTCTTGGAATTAAACGGCTACTTTATTTTTAAATTTATATTTATATATATATAATTGCTAGCTCATGAGCATTTAATAAAATTTATTAAATAATATTTTTTTTCTCAAAAAATCGTTACTTTTTTATTTATTTGATTTCTCATTTAATTATTAGATAATCAACACACTAATCACTTCAAAATTACAAAAATCATTTTAAACTTTTGATTTACTTACAACTAACCATATAATGTATTTACTATTTAACGTGATTACAAGTCATTGTTGTAGTTACATTTAAATTAACTTCTTTTAGAAAATAAAAAACGTATTTGAAATTCTTAAATAAATAATAAATAATTTACAAAAAAATACATACCAAAATATACATTACATCCATTATGATAAACACAATTTAAAAAAATAAATATTCCAGCTCCTTTAATTGTAAATTTGGCCTGCAAAAAAGTGAAAGAAAAATCATTAATCATTATATGCATACAAATAACTCACAATACTTCATTTATATATGTGTATTTGTATAGATCGAATACTAGTTAACGAGTGATTTCACATGTAAATTATTGAATTAACTGCAAATATATATATATATATATACATATATATATCACTTTTATTTTTATTTTTTGTCATCTATATATATACATAACTAGTACGAACAGAGTCGGTCCTAAACTTTTATAGGGTATGTTTGCATACAAAAAGTTTCAAAAAAATTCTAACATTTTAACTTAATCATTTTTTTTAATTCAGCTTTATCTCAATCTAACTATCATCAATATTATTAATATAATTAAATAATATCAATCAATCATTCATACATACCACATCAACCTTAATTCACTATTTATTTACTCACATTATTTTAACTAACCATCACTTCAAATCATCTCTCTCACTTTCACATCAAATCAATTTTAATTATTTTATTTTAAATCATTATATAAAAAGAATAACCTTTTTACAAATTTAGAAACTTTTTCCCGCCAAAATCATTAAATATATCCTAATATAGTAATTGTTGGACAAATCTGAATAGGCAAAAAAATCGGCTCATTTTTTTTAGTTTATCAAAACTGTTGTTTGACAATAAATATTTGTTTTTCTTTTTCCTATTTTTAGTATAAATCTACACGTTTATCTCTTCTGTTACAAAATCTCATTGCATAAGTGTTTAAAAAATCTCATCCCTTATACAGATTTAAAAAAATAAAATAAAATAGAAACCAATTCATAATTACTACTAGAAATCCATTATTTTTAAAAAGAAAAAATAAAATAAAATAGAAACCAATTCATAATTACTACTGGAAATCCATTATCTACTTTAAGAAGCTAATTTTCATCGGTCTAATTACTAATATTTTTACAAATATTATAAGCTAACCATACAAAAAAGTATAATAATAATTTTGAAATGGTGTGTAATCAAATTTTTTTTATATTCTCTTATACAAATAAATTTTACATTGTTTGACCCCGGATCTTTAATTTATAATTATTAAGTATTGTTTATCCTCCTCTTTAATTTATAATTATTTTTTTTGCTTCCTCTTTTTAAATAGGAACAATAGTAGTTTCCACTTCCGTCATTGAGTAACTCAAACTCGAGGTCTATTTATAATATTATTAATTTAATATTGTTTCCGTGCATCGCACGGGGTATACACTAGTATTATTTTAATTTGTCCATTGCAAATGGAGCTGGAAGAGTCATTATTGACAATTCTCCTGACATAGTGCTAATAATGGACTAGATCGAAATGGCTCAATTAAATTCTAGTGCTTTCTTCTATTAGTGAAGTTTCTAGAAAAAAAAAATATATCAAACGGCGCAATGCACCTTGGGTCGCTACGGAAACAAGGTGTCGCTACGGAAACAGCCTCCTTATATAATTACAAGGGTAAAGTCTGCGTACAACTGACCCCCAGACCCCAACCTATTGGGAATATACTGGGTATGTTGTTGTTGTTATAAATATTATTTTAATATACCCACTAACAACTAACCATACAACTTTTTTAAAATTAACCAAACATGTTGTCGTCAATTACCAAAAGCAAAGAAGAAAATATCCATCCACTCACAAACTTTTGAAACGTTCATCATGGCCTTAAATCATTCCAAGAGAAACGCACTTCAATAAATTTGAATACAAAATCATATAATGCAATGATACAAGCCAAGAAATTTACAACTCATTTCATTATCCTACTATAGCAAATGAACTGAAATCTATATATAAGTTCAACTAACAATTACACGTTTATTCGACACACACGTATCAAATCCCATTATTCTGTTACACACACACTCACACACAATATTTATAATATAAATGATGAATATACAAACTTTTTTGAAATTAATAAAATGACCAACACTTTACAAACACAGCAAATTACCAACCAGAGTGGACAGCCAAGATAACACACGAACCACTTTTCTAACGCAGTAGAATATTTTTCCACATGTGATTCCCAACCAACATAACATTATTGCAACCTCTGTTATTATATGTAGTGAGTTTAGCTTGACCTAACTTTTTGAGCCATGGATGGAGATCTTTTCTTCTCGGGTTTTGGAGGGGTTGACTTATTCCCGATTGGGGACTTCTTACATGCTGCGGAATTCGAAACGCTGGCAGCTGTCCTTTCAGCAATTCTCTTCTGACGTTGAAGGAGCAATTCCTCCATTCTCTTACGCTCCTCTTCTTCCTGCATGGCAAATAATACATAAAAAATTGTCACAAAAAAAAAGGCATTGAGGGGTTTGGTCTAATCATAGAAAACTCCAGTAGTTTAAATTTACCAAGCAAGCGTTCAGAAACTATATATTTGCTTTGAAGTTGCCTTACTGAGTCATCTCACGTTCTATGATGGGTGACATAAACGTCATGATATGAACAATAGACATGCACCAGTGTTTTTCTTGTTCAAGAAGCAAAGTGAAATAGAAAAAGCACAGTTCATGTGGCAAAATTGTATCCAAAGAAAAGGAGAAGGAAAAGTTGAGTGGGTGAAGTGCAAAAAGAACCATGGTTAAAGAAGGGTCTCAGCATAATATTCTAGCACATATAGCGTTAACTTCAGGTGTAGGTTGTGAAAATTAAAATCTTGAAAGTTCAATCCAGGATCAAATATGCAATTATTATTATCACCTTCATCAGCTTGTATTTATGTGCCATTGCTGGCGACATCTTCTTGCTCTTTGAAACAGAATCCACCTTGCTCCTAGCAAGGGTCCCCGACAAAGTTCTCGACAAGTCCCCCCTCCCAATCTTTTTCATTGTGGGTCCCGCATTTTTCTTGCCATTGACACTTTTACCCTTCGCCACAGGATCTTTTCCAGTGTGGCCATTTGATTCGACATCAGAAGGCTTTTTATCAGCTTCGTTAAAAGAAATTTCAACTTGATAGTCCATTTCCGGTGTCCATGAGGCGCTAGATTCCTGTGACTCTCTCACAAGCATCATGCTGAGGTCATCAGGCTCGGTGGAGCCTAAAACAGTTGGGCTACCTTTTCCTGGCTTGGGCACATCGATATTGGCATCAATATTTATTTCGGTCGTCCAATGAGACGTATAGTGCTCGTCAGCTGCTGATCTCGACTCTATAATGAACGAATCGTCGATCATGGGAGTTCCCTTAGTTTTTTCTTTATGAAAAATGCCATTTTCATAGTTCAAATTTTTGCCTTGTGCTTCTGAATATTCAGATGAACTATTAACAACAAACCAATCTTTCTCTTTCCTATTCTTGACAGTGGTTTGCTCAGCAGAAAAATCTGGCGAATTCATCTGTGTATTACTTCCTCTATATTGTTCTGAAAACAAGGCATTCTCTCCTTCAACAAAACTACTCTTCGTACGTAAGTGAATATCTTCACCGTCAGCAAAATCTACCGAGCGTCCTTGACCGCCGTTCAACACCTCTCTCTGAACCACAAGAACAGAATCATCAACACCGTTGCTAGTCTTTTTTAAAAGCCCTCCGTTAGAGCTTTTCATGCCATAATGTTCTTCCCCAGGGTTATGCTTAGGTAATTTACTGGAATTAGATTCTTCATGAGTTAAGAGAAGATTCTGGAAAGCATCCCAAGCATTATTCGTTTTGCCTCCATCGGAAGTATTTGAATCGATGCTATATTCATTATCCTGTTTTCCTCTGTTTTTATGCGCTTTCGAGTGTGCGTGCTTCTCAAGGGACGCAATTACATTGTCAACCCCTTCTCTAATAGAAACTTCATCGCCTTCTGAAAAATCTTCACTATCTTCATTATCCTCTCCATTGCGCCTTTGGGATGTAACGTAGTTTATGTTGCGAATAACGACCGTTTTTGTATTTGAACCCCTTCTCTTGTTCATGCTAGAATATTTCTTCCCCTTTGAAGAAAGTATCTTATTGTGCTGGTTTGCCTCATCTGAATCAGTCCCCGTGCCCGATTCAGTTTGTTCATCCTCTTCGGAAGCATCTGTGCCGTTTGCATCAAGAGACTTCTCCTTTCTCCAAGATGGCTTGTGAGTTTTGGATGGCACCATGCCACCTGGTGGGGCCCACCCCACATTGCCCGGGTAATAAGGGTAATATCCCGGGAAGTTGTACATGTAGGGTGGAATCTGGTTCATCCACGGCATCTGTTGAGTGTTCAGTTTTTGTTCAGTTGCCGCACCATTATTTTCTGTGACCAATGAGAAAAAAACAAGGATGAGAAAAAAAACGTACATTAGAACAAAGCGTAAATGTAAAGGAGTTAGTAATAGTCCGTAAGAGATGTATAACAGGCCAGTTGTATGTGTATTTGAATTTAACTTTGAAAGGAAAAGGAAATATATGTTATATGCCTTTGGTTGGAGTAGAAACTGAGTCGGGTAGAGTCATGTTGCCATTAATAATACTATCAGCCGTTAGCATAATTCCAGATGCTCCCACATAGGAAAGGTCAGTCACAGGGCATGCTTGAACTGCAGCTAATTCATTCATCCATTGGTTATCTGAATGCTTTCTCTTGTAAAGCTCCTTGAAATCAATGCATGCGTCTCTTCATGACAAATAATAAGAGGAAAAATCAGGGTGGAAATATGTTTATAAAGCTGTCGGAAATGGAAATAAATAATAGTTCCAAAAACCCGTGTTTTATCGAGTCAGGATAATCTTGTATATTTTAGAAGCATTGAAAATGACAAAATTTGATGCAACTTTAAAGACTATTACGATACCCACTCATTTAAATCCAGGTGTAATGCTTTCACATGGTTCGGTTCTTGACTTAGAGGGGCCTCGACAAGCGTATTAATTGGGTGCATGCATTTAGAAAGACTGCTAAATAATATGCCAAAAAAAAAAAATCAAAATTTTAAGATTTTTACCTCAGACGTGAGGCACCGAATGCATCAGCAAAGCACACGAGATCATCAATGGTGTCGATCTCATATCCTGCCACGACTGCACGAGCATAAGCCATAGCTTGCTCTTTCTGTAGTAATGCTTTCCTAGTATCCATGACACGCTGAAGACGAACTCTACTTAGGACAACAAGCAAATTAATGTCTAGGTTATCACAAATATATTCGTTATAGCGTGAGTAATTTTTCATTGACGTAATATGAAAAGATCAGATACCTTGAATTTTCTCTAGATGCGGCCCCATGATCTTCATCTTCAGAGATTGACTACAATAGCCATGATAAAATACAAATTAGTTAAAAGAAATAAAAGAAAAAAGGAAATATTATTTACTGGTCACTGTAAGTTAGAATACCTTTGTGGAACCATTTCCATTTCTTATATTCCCATTGGTAGCCAATAAGCTTTCTGAAAATACAATGGGTTTAGTATGTAAAAAAACATTGAATTCATTAACAGAACTTAACAATAATTTTAAAAAAAAGCAACAACTGAACCAAGTAATGAACTATGAAGGAGTTATCAAATCCCACAATGTAAAAAAAAAAGTTCATTTTTATTTTGCACCGTGGCCAGATAACATTTTATTTTCCAATGGAAATTGGATCACCTTGTCTAAGAAATATATAAACAAAGCACATTTATATCCATAGTACCTTCCCTGGAATGTCTTGTCCCCTCCAACCTTGGAACGTCACTAGATTGAATTGAACTGTCAATTTGCAAAATTTCTCTTTCTATTCGTACAATCCTCTCGAGAATTTCAGGGGTGCTCACGAAGCGTACGAATCTGCCAACCAAAAATAAGAACAACAAAATCATCCCAAAGTTGTATTTTTAACACCTCAAACCAAAAATATTCTACAAGATTTCAGACTTTATCCTCAAATCTACACTCCAAACGTTTCCACTGCTTGTCTTAAATGCAGTAAACTATGACAAGATTGTCATATAATTTACCGAAACAAAAATAAAAGGAAAATGACAAAAAGTACAAAAGGAGTAGAAGTAAAAAAGCAGACTTGGAAATCATAACAAAAGATCAACCGTGAAGAACCAAGATAACCAAAAAAAACAAAAGGCAGAGTGAACTACAGTTCTTAATCTCAAAACAACATCTGTATTTTGTCCTTTTAATTACCTCTGAAATGTGGCCTTAGTGAACCATGATATATCATCAGCTTTGGCCGGCGGCCGAAGGGTAATCGAATAGCCACCTTTTGGAATCTGATCTCTTGCAAATCTCAAGTGGGCTATGAATGGGTCAACAAGCCCCGATGCCACTTTCTCACTCTTCTTCCCCGAAAACACAACAAGATCGCACCTTTACCAAATTCACCAAGAACCCACCCAAGAAAAAGATGGAAACTTTATCAATATCACCAGTTGTTCACGAAATTTAAGGATTAACACAGGATATCACACAGGGACACTCTCAGAAAGAGAGAGACAGACAGAGAGAAAGAGAAACGGGTACCTTGTTCTTGTCGGGGTGAGTTGAAACAGTGCGTAATCGATAAGGGTTTTCGAATCCATACTCAACTCAGCGCGGGAGAGAGAATGGAGTTTCTGAAGCTGCGTGTAGTGTGGAGAAATTGCAAATTCAGGCTATTGAATTGAATGCGACATTTTAGAAACCTTTTTTGCAAGTCTTAACTGGAAATGAGAGAGAGCCAGCAAGAACTGATGGAGCACTGCACGTGGGCAAAGTTTATGTGCGTATGAGAGAGATGCCATATACCTTGATTACGTTGAACTAGTACGCACGCTAGGAGATATTATTAAGGAGATTAGATATCATACAGTAACATCTTACTAATTCTTATATAAATAGTAACACCTTTTTAGTTCTTATATAAATAATTAAATATTTATTTATTTTGATTCTATTTTTTTTAAATAATACGAATCATGTGCTATGTAGGGATAGAAGATATTTATTAATATATATAAATTAAAAATGCACATTAAATAATATTTATAATTTAAAAATATAGAATCAATTGTAATACAATTCACCTATATTAAATTTATTGAAAATGTTACATGAAATTTAAATTGTGCAAAATTATAAAAAACATGTCTATTTAAAATTAGTACACAACCCGTACGGTGAACGTAACTGATAATAAATTACAATATTATTTCAAAATAAGTGTCATTTTAAAATTTTCATTCAGAAATTTAATTTAACTACAATGTAATTCCATAAAATAATAATTTTGATAAAATGTTATGAATATTTAAAAATCTATGTGAATAATAAGTACAGTTATAAGACTATATTATTTCATTAACTAAATTGAATTTATTGTTGTATAAACTATCTAAATAAAAAAAATTAAGTAGTTGAGTAATTTATTAAACTATAAATAATTGATTATTCTATTTATGTCCAAGTTAATACTAATCTGTAAGTTATTAAGAATAACTTATTTGACTTTTAAATTTGGAAACCAAATTTAGACTACACAATAAATTCTTTATACATATTATCTCTCAATTTTTTAAATTTTTTTTTTCGGTTACCTTGTTGTTCAAATTTATCAACTAATTCTCTAAAATTAAATTACAAATTTTAAATTTTATTAACTAATATTTGTTCAAAAATCTTTCTGATATTCAAAAGGAATACAGATCAATTTGAAAAATTATCATCAAAAATCGTGTTGATTGATCAAATTTTTAAGGGAAATGATGTACATATTGTATTATTTAAACCGTAAATTTGTGAATTATTTGTAGAATAAATCAATTTGTAGTATATGAAATCCTCAATTTTTGGAATAAATCAATTCATAGCTTTTGAGCCTACATTATACGGAATCCTCAATTTTTGAATTATTATATTCTAAATAGTTTTATATTGAATAGCCACTATTGTGTGATTTTATGCATCATAACTGACTCATGAACCGACCTATGAAACATGTTGGGGTGAATCAATGAAGATATTATTTAACAAAATCAGTTAGTACTAATCACATTAATCGTAGTAGTTGGAATCCTCAATTTTAAAAAATATTTGAAGTGATATGTTTTTATCATGTTTAGGAAACTGGTACATTCTTTAATTAAAAAAAATTCAATTTTAAACAGAAGACCAATATAATCGGTTAAAAAAAAGGAAGTCAAATATATTGCTAAAATAAAAATATATTTTCCAAATGAAAAGGAACTTGAATTTATCCGATATGGAAGGAATCTCATCCAAAACATATTGAACTCATCCAAAACATACTGAATTTTGGAATGAAAAAAATTCAAACTTTCGGAAAAATTTCAAACAAAATATTAGAGGGAAAAAAGTGATTTGACCGGTAAAATGAAATAATTTGTCAAATATTTTTTCTTCTCTCTATTATATAGTAATAGATATTGAAATATCATTAATATTTTTTAATAACTATAAATATTCAAAATAAATATTATATAGCATACCAGAATTCACAAGGCGTGCTTGGATAACATATAATCGCTCAAAATGATTTTTTGTTCTTAATCAGAGTTTATTTTGAAAAATGTGCTATGATTAGTTGTTAGTGAAATTTTGAGTTTGTATAAAAATAATATTTAAAATAAAATAATTAAAATTGATTTGATGTAAAAATATGAGAGAGATGATGTAAAGTGATGATTAGCTAAAATTAAATAGTGAATTAAAACTGATGTGATAAGTAAGTATGATTATTTGACATTATTTAATTATCTTGATAATAGAAGGATAGTAGAGTGGATTAAAGGCTATGTTGTTGTTGTTGTTGTTGTAGAGTAGATTAAAATTGAGTTACATTTTGAATATTAATTAAATATAAATTGCAAAAATTCATAAACAAACAGTTGTACAATGTTTTATATTCATTTAAAACAAATTACATATGAGAAGTAGTACGAAAACACTTGGAAAGACTTGGTTTACTCTTATGTCTGTTTAAGAAAAGTAATTTCAGAGAAGTAAAGGCTCGGTTTTTTTTTTGTTTTTTTTGCATTTAAATGATTTTTTTTTTTTTTTTTTCTATTTTTTAAGCAATAATGTATATTGTATTGTATTTAGGGCTTGATTGGATATAAAATATCTTTAACCAAATAAATTTTTAACTTAAAATTTAACTCAAACTCAACTTAACTCTAATTTTCTCAGTATTATAAATATAATTAAATAATATCAACAAATCATTCTCACAAATCACATTAAATTTTAACTCACATAATTTTAATATTTATCATTTTCAATTATCTCTCTTTCTCTTTTATATCACATCAATTTTAATTATTAAAATTAAATATTATTTAAATACAAACTCAAAATATCATTCAAATTAAATACAATTAAAATTTTTAAAAAATAACTCAATTTATTCAATAAATCTGTTCAAAATAATTTATGAAGTGATCGATATATATCAGTCATAACTCTTTCCGTAAATAAATTTGTATTAGAATATATGATGGTGGGATCGCTTATCATGGTGTCCCCACCTCCCCTGCATTATTTTGTGCTTTGTAATTAATTAGTGCTTGAATAATCAATAATGTGTTCCTAATTCTATATTTCTTTCCTATATAGTGTAAACCGACAGATTCCAAACCTGCTATTCTCCCATGCTACTAGTGAACGTGGGTTAAATTTAGATAAACTAGTATTCGACCTTGTGCATTTGCACAGATATAAATAAAATTAAATATTATAAGTTATATTTATGTATATAATATAAAAATTATAAGTTATATAATTGTATTATACTTCAAACATATAGTATTATAAGTTATATTTATGTATATAATATTAAAATCATAAATTATATAATAGTATTATATTTTAAAATTTGATCGTTGGTTAAAATAAATAGTACACAAGATTTGATTGTATACGAATCACTATATCGATTGCATAAAATGTAATAAATATATACTTTTTATAATTTTGAGTGATCATGACCAATTAATTAGCTAAAAAATATTACATTTATTATAACAATTGCTTATGTATTTTAAGAAATTTTACTATGACATAAAAAAATTTAAATTTTTAATAAACAACATCTTCATCATATAAAAAAATATTGATTTTAGTGTAAAATATAATTTTATGTAACTTTCATATATTATTTAGTATAAAATATAGTTACTAATTTTAATATTAACTATTATATTATTCAATAAAAAATATAATTATTAATCAATCAACATAAAATATAATAGTTTTTGTCTTAATTAACCCAAAAAAATGTAATGAAATATTTTTTTATTGATGAGATTGGGTGTATTAATACCATATAATAAAATTTATTAGGTTCTATTTATTAGGTTTTATTAATGATTTGCCACATAGGTAAAATTTATTAGGTTTTATTTATTAGGTAAAATTTATTGCTTAGCTAGCAATTATATATATATAGATGTGTTAAATTTAGATAAACATTTATTCATATTCATTATTATTACATTTAAAAGATGAAATAACCGACAACTACTTTTATATTATGTTAATAATAGAATTATATCTGATTTAATTCAATTTGGATATAATAAATTATTTTTTATATAAACCCTCATCCCGGATAGCGATTGCCTGATATGATTTTTAATCATTTTAAACTAACAGAAGGGATTGATATCATTAGAGGGATTGAACGCACGCAAAAAGCTCTTCATTAATAATAGGCCATTCTATAAAAGATTATTCATTCCCTGGGCAAAAAAACGCACTATTGTATTTATATCTCAATAAGCAAACAAAGGCGTGATATTTTTTCTCCAAAGATAAAGATTATGGGGACGGAATGGTTGGATGGTCTTTGTCCATGTAACATCTCTCATTTTGTTTTTAGGTATTTTAATGCGGAGTTAGTGATGGTCTTTGACTTTTTGTTTTTTGTTTTCTTTTTTTCCTAAAAGTTTTCAATTATTAAGAGTGGGATTACACATTTTTTCATATTGGTGATTTTAAAAATAAGACCTAGTGCTTAAGTTTATTAGTTATGATTAGAGTGGCGCGTGACTATGAACTTCAACACCAATTGAAATGACAACTACTTTCTTTTGCATCAAAATTATTCAGAGAGTAGGTATGGGCACTTCATGAACTATATAGCTCAAAGTAAACTTAAATGAAATTAAGTGTGTGTTTGTATATAAAATAATCAATCAATACTCATTTATTTTGATGCAACAAGGATTTATTTCGATGGCTCAATCTCAACTAATCATGTATGTGGTGATTCAGGTGTTTTTGTCCGTTCTGCTAATGGAGCTTTTTTATTAGCTTTGTCACGCCGTTTTGCTGGAATTTTTAATTCTGACTTAGCTGAAACTTTGGCGTTGCGGGAAGCGATTCTCTTGGCTCAGAGTTTAAATGTTTCGAATGTAACTGTCATGTGGCATTCTTCCTTGACTGTTCAAGCTACATTTGGTTTAACCATGCCCCTTCGAGTTGTTTGTCGATTATAGATGATATAGTTGCATGTTTGCCTCATTCGCCTTCTGTTAGATTATTTTGGATTCCATGCTCGGACAATGTCGTTGCTTATTCACTGATTAGATATGCAACACATTCCACTTCCGCTATTTCTGTATGGAGTGATCCTCCAAACTTTTTATCTCATTTGGTATTGAACCATTTCCAATAATTTAATGCAAGTTTGTTCCTTCAAAAAAAAAAAAAATCATACTCAAAATCCAACTCAATTTTAATTCAACTCCATTATCTAGATTTCTAATCCACGGGCCTCGTATCTCCCTCTCATACTGG